CCGAGGCGGGGGGGGGGGGGGGAGCCAGAGCCGTGCCTGTCCCTGGGGTGGGGAGATGCTGGGGTGCCCCCATCCCAGACCCCCTTCTCACATCCCTTTCTTCTCGCAGGGTGAAGACGGGCGCCCGGGGCCAGAAGGGGATCGTGGGCCGGCGGTAAATACCACCCTCCCCCGCTGCACCCCTGTCTGGGCCCCTCCCTGACCACCCTTCTCCTCTCTCCCGCAGGGCTTGCCTGGGAACCGGGGGGAGCGTGGGGACAAGGTGAGGGACTCTGGGGGCTGGGGAGCTGGCGGGGGTGAACGGTACACCTCCAGGGATTGGGGTCTCCAGGGAGGTGCTGCCCGCCCCCCACCGTGCATCTTTGCAGTGTCTCACCATCTCACCTTCCTCGCAGGGAGACACTGGGGCCCCGGGGCCCAAAGGAGACAAGGTGAGTCCCTGGGGCGGGGGACAGCGAGAGGGAGGGCAGCAGCGCTGGCCCCCCCGCTCACCCCCATCTCTCTCGGGTGTGCAGGGCGATACTGTGATGATGGAGGGGCCTGCCGGAGTGCGGGGCAGCAAGGGGGAGCCGGTAAGAGCTGTCCCCATCCTCCCTGTCCCCCTCTGTGATGTCTCTTTTGTCCTGATGTGCAGGGTCCCTCCTGTGCATCCCCCTCCCCAAGACCCTGTCTGCCCTGCTCCTGGCGCAGAGTAGCTCCCAGCCCTACGGGTCTGATCCTGCACCCCTTCTCCCGAAAGGCACAGGACAGCTCCCCACATACCTCTGCCTGCCAGAAGAGCTGGAGGGGCTTCTTGCTGCCAAGGGACCCTGCCTTGCAGAGCACATTGTCCCCTTTCCTTCAGCTACCCTATGGACCCCCGTGACCCTGCCTTGGGGGGGGGTCTGTCCTCCCCACCCTAACGTGTGTCTGAGCATCCCTCTGTCCCCTGACCCCTCCTTGTGTTTCCCGTTTTGCAGGGAGAGCGTGGCCTGAAGGGCACGGAAGGGGACAAGGGGGACAAGGGGGAGCAAGGCATGCCCGGAGAGAAGGTACAGGGCTGGGTGGGCTTGTGCGGGGCTGGGAGCTGCTGGGTTGGGGACCATGGAGGGCTGTTGATGGGGTGATGGACAGAGGGACCAGAGCATGATGGCATCCCTGTGCCCCATGTGCTGGTGCTTGTGGGCACTGTGGCATGCTGCTTGGCAGCAAGGGGAGCTGCTGGAGCCAGCCTTGGAGGTTGCCATGGCTGTGCTGTGGCCATGCTGTGGCCAGAGCTCTGCCTCCTGCCCTGTGTCAATTTGGGTTTTTGCTTGCAGGGGGTGAGGGGTGAGCAAGGTGAAAAGGGCTCCATGGGCTTCCCTGGGGCACGTGGCCCTGGTGGGCAGAAGGTAAGGAGCTGGGCACCCCCCACTGCTGAGGGGGTGCTGGGGGCACCATACCCCTCGCCTGCCCTGACCAATGCCTTTGCCTTCCCCAGGGAGAGGTCGGAGCGTTGGGCGAGCCCGGTGAGCCGGTGAGGAGCTGCGTCTCAGTGCCGCTGCCACTCCACTGCAGGGCAGGAGCGGACCCCTGTCATGCTGTGTGCTCTCTCACAGGGCCAGCCCGGCCGCGACGGGATCCCTGGAGCCCGGGGAGAGAAGGGGGACATGGGATCCCTGGGCATACGTGGCCCCAAGGTGGGTTGGCCCCTCTGCCCGCTGGTGCTCTCCTGGCCAGGACCTGCGCTGGCTTGGTGTGGCTCTGACTCCCCTCCTCCTTCTCACAGGGTGACCGGGGCATGAAAGGCGCCTGTGGCATCAATGGGGACAGGGGCGAGAAGGTGAGTGGGTGCCTGCAGGGTGCCACAGGAGCCTGGATGTTGCGGCTGCCTGTCCCC